GGTCTCAGCATCGAGGCCAATCTGAAACCCAGAGTGGCCTGGCTGGAGGGTATCGGGTTGAGCCGACAACAGGTTGTCAAGATGATTGCCACTTCTCCTGGTGTCCTTGGCTACAGCTTTGTGGCCAATCTATCACTTAAGCATCAACTGTTGCAGGGCGTCTTCTGCGACAACGATATTTGCCGCATGCTTGTGTACCTTCCTCCCATGCTGGGCTACAGCTTCAAGCGCCTGCATCATCGCTTGCATGTCCTGCAGAAGAGCAGCCAGACGGAAAAACTGGCTGCGACCATGACGCTGACCGACAAGCGTTTTGCGCAGCGATTCGGTGCTTGAGCAGGTTGTGGCAGACAAAGACGGAGGAAGCTCGTAATTCTCGGTGTAATCCAGGGTGGTCAACATGAGCACGGGAATCCGACGCCAAAAACTCGTTCAGCTTCAGAGGCATGAGGTTCCTCAGCTGGTGTCTTGCATTGTCGCTGTACCGGGGAGGCTCAACCGCAGAAAAGACAAGAATTTGTGGCAGGAGGATTTCCTAGGCTCTTTTAGGGTTCTAGGACACAGTACGTCTGTTACAAGGAATGCTAAAAGTAGCAAAAGCCTCGCTCGGACATACTACGCTCCGAGTGCTCCTCACTGCAAAGCTACGGCAACCTTTGGCTGCTGCGAAATTCTAGAGTGCACAGGACCTAATACAGAAGCTTAGTGGTTGTATTCTCGCTATGAAAAACCCTGCGAGGACGCGCAATTCTTGCGACACTGCTTGTACAACAGTGCAGCTAGAAGATTGCCGCCACGATGACAGACAGTGAACTTCACTTTCGTACATACCCTTGATTTACCCATATCTTTGCAACAAAATGGAAAATGTTGTCCTCGCACAACCCCATGCCCAGGATCTTGAAGTAGAGACCCTGACCCCGTCCGCCCCAACACCAAAGCATCGAATCCTGCATTCGCCGTCAGATCGGAGAGGGGTTGGGGTTAATGAATTCTGTAGCCCAAACTACCAGCATGTATGATGGTACTCTTTGACACAAACTGGGTTTTCGGGCCACAGAAAGGTTTAATCGTCGCAAGATTGAAAACAGTTGAGAGTTCAGGGCTGGGTAGGGTTTTCGGAGTTCACGACTTTCGTGCTCACAGATATTGAAGCCCAGGTAGTCTTCTGGCTGGCTGTTAGGATAGTTATTTTCTGGGATTCAAGAATAGAGGAGTCTCAGTAATTACATATACTATTCCTGAGCCATCCTTGGTATAACTGCAGTACAATATGCCCCAAAATCCCATCCTTATTTTCAAGGCTTTCATATGCTGTTCGTTATTTTTGCCGGTTACAAAGTCGAGTTTAAGTTTGAGAATCCAAACCTAACCCTAAAGCACCCGACAAAAGTTAAAAAGCAACAGTTAAAAAAGATACGTGTGTGTATACTGTATACATACATATATATATATATATATATATATATACACATATACATGTGTGCATGAACAAAGCATCACGCCCTGGCCCAGATCTACCAAGCAATGTTGCAGCTTGGGCAGGAGGCCACTTCGAGTTTCCTGATTGGCAGCTTTAGGGTCCTCGGGGCTCAGGGTCCAGGGTTTAGGGTCTAGGGTTTAACGGGTCAGGCTCCAGGGTTTGGGGTCTAGGGTTTGAGGGGATAGGGTCTAGTGCAGGGTTTAGCAGTTTAGGGCTTATAGGCCGTTCTTGAAAAACGAGCCCTGTGAACGTTCTGGCATTTAAAGCTTGTGGGCTTCATGGCTTAGAGATCAAAGTGATTAGGGTTTGGTTCGAGCATCGATTCGGAACTCACCACTTATCCAAGAGTTGGAAAGCCTGCAATCGCAGGATGCCCTCCAGGACTCGATCGCAGACTCGATCCGGGGAATGGCGGCTGCCCAAAAGTCGCTGCAAGCTCTCGGCAAGACTGTTTGGTGCTTAGTCGGGAATGGGGGAATGGATCCCTATGATAGTGCCTTAAGGTCCCTTCTAGTAGTCCCTATAACCCATGCGCCCCCATTCCCTACTAAGCACCAGACAGAAGAAGCCGGGTGTTTTTTTCAACAGATCCTGCCTTGGATCCGGGCCCGTCAGCTCAGGGACCCAGAGCTGGCAGCCCCTAAACCCCTAAACCCTTACCTTAAGAGCCCAAAACCTACTTTTTTGGTAGGGTCCCTATAAACCCCATATTAGGGTTTATAATAAGAACCTACAAATTTGGTTTTGGGCTCTTCAGGTAAACCCTAAACCCTAAACATCGGCGGAACGATGGCCCCAGCTGCCTCAGCAGCCGCTGCCCCGCCCGTCACTGAGCCCCCGCCAGAAGCGATGGAGTTTGGGGCTGGCGGACCTCGCCGTGCAAGAGGCGGCCCCTTTGAGCCCAAATCGAACCCCTTCCACCTCACAGCAACTAAGTGGGTAGTTCTCTAAATTAGGGTCCCTTTTTGGGTCCCCAAAAAAGTACGGCACCCTTATAAAAAAGACCCCAAAAAGGGACCCTAATTTAGAGAACTACCCAATTGGTAGTGGTTTTCCCAAGAAGTGCCTATGTACGAAGTATGATTGGCCCCACTCCCTCATAATTCTTCTGATTGCAAAACCCCCCTGCTTCTACTAGCCTTCGATAAAGGAACCTGCAAGGTAGCCCTTACAGTAGAAGCCCAAAAGTTGGAAACCCCATAGCCCCAATCCTTAAGAGTCATGTATTGGGAATCCCAGCACTAATTGTCCTTAATGAGATTTCCAACCTTTTTGGGTTTACTATAACAAACCTTCAAAGAACCCTTTTAGAGACCCTCAAAAAGTCGCACTTACTGAGAGCCTCTCAAGATACCCTTAAACAAACCATTAGCATCAGTAATATAGGGGCCTTGATAGTTACCTATACTATTTGGGGGTTCCTTATTATAGGTATAGTATAATGGGCCCCAAACCCCTATTCTAATTATTAAGGCCCCTACATTAAAAGAGGCCCTTCAGAAAGCTCCTCGTAGGGGTCCCCACTTGGCTGAGCCTTCGCCGCGAGGCTCGCGCGCGCTCCGTGCACCGGAAAGCCTACCAGCCGGGCACGGGCCAGCCGCTGGATCCCTGGTTTGGGGGCTTTTAGGGTTTGGGGCTTCAGGGTTTATATCGGGGCTTCTAGAATGGTTTATGTTGGGCTTCGGGTTCAAAAAATGGGCTTCTTTGGGGTCACCTGTTACTTTAAGGGCTACGCAGGGGTTCCATGGGCTTTCAGGAAGTTACAAGACAGGAGCCGCGAGGTACCTAGGAGCTGTTTAGGGCTTGGGTTTTTGGATATGGGTGTTTCCGAAAGTTAGGGGTCCTTATAATAAGGATCCTACCATTTAGGGTACTATATTAGGGTCCCCTATTTTCGGAAACCCCCATATGGTATGGGGTTGATCTTGGGTTTGCAAAATTGAATAGACGTGGTCAGGGTGTATATAAGATGCTCTTCGGGATGTGGTGTTTGAGAGGGGTCTCCTGACTAGAGAGTGGGGTTTAGGGTTTTGGAATGCCCTTACGATTAAGGGGGTACTTAGGGACCTAGAAATCCGTCAGGGATTACTTGGCTTTTCTCCCGGCTATGTTTTTGGGTCTTGGTGTTTTGGTGTTCTGCTCTGTCGTTGCAAGGGATCCGAAAACTATGCCTTATTCCGAAATCCTGAACCGTAAACCCTCATAGGATTGAAGCTCGGTGTGTGCATGTGCATGTATATATCTTGTACCTGGCATTTTGTATACATATATACATAAATACATATATATATATACATACATACATACATACATACATACATACATACATACGTACGCTTCTATGCTGTGTATATATATATATATGTATATATATATATATAGGCTCATGCCGGTAATGAGTGGATTCTGGGAGTCTTGGGAAGTTTTTGACGCCCAGAGCCTGGAGCCTTCCCTTCGATGAAGGGATTGCTGAAGTCCCAGACCCCCAAAAGGATTTAAAAAATAGATCCCATAATTAGGGACCCTAACTACTAAAGGGTACTTTATTGGAACCCCCTTGGGGGATCTGTTTTGTTAGATCCTTTTGGGGGTCTGGGGTTTTAACCCCCCAAAGCCTCCCTGCACTGAGAGACTCTCAAGTTCTTCGGGTTGTAGGGTTTAGGGTTTAGGGAGAGATGCGCCAGCTCTTCGGGTTTGGGGGTTTAATTAGGGTTAACTGAGAGATGCTCCAGTTCTTTGGGTTCAGAGTTTAGGGTTTATCAAGTTCTTGGAGCAAGGAAACGTTAGGAGGAGTGCTTTGCTGCCCCTCAAGCAATCCCACGAGGCGAAAGCCTCAGAACTTTTCACGACAGTGCGCCTAGTATTGCTGGCACATGCAGGTCTAAGGGGGTGCTCGAATCATCCCCACAGGTGGCATCCCTCCAGATGAGTCGCCCCCATGATGGGAGCCTTGACGGAGCATGTGCGGTTTCCTATCACCGAAAGCTGCACTGCCATTGAGAGAAACCTGAACCAGTTGCACTTCACTGGCGACCACATGGATCGGAGAGATCACGGACAACGTCAATGGTGTCGAAGAGATCGTCCACATGTGCTCAGAGCATGCCGGCGAGATCAAAGCATACTGTCAGAGGTTTGCGGAAATTAGTGGGTGATATTGCTCTAGTAGTCCCTGAACCCTGAACCGTCGAGGTTCCTGGAGCACCGGGATGCGGCAGAGCTGCGTGAACAGCGCAGAAGAGAGGAGGCCTCGTTTGAGATTCGAGCTGAGGGCTTCCCGGGTTCAGAGATCAGGGAGCTGTGTTTTGGTTTCATACTTAAAGGATCAGGGCACTTCGTAAGTATGGTTATAAGTACCCTACTTAAGGCTATAAGTAGATATAACTATAGCTACCTTACGTATAACCCTACTTACTAAGTCCCCTGATCCTCTAAGTAGGGTTGTATGCGGTGTACAGGGCGTTTACTGGATGTTAGCGGGTGCTGAAGTGTTTGTATTCGGGGTTGCTTGGATTGTTCTTACAGGATTACGGGACTTTCTTCGGCTGTTTGCAAAAGGGCGCTCTGGGGTAGTCTCATGGCTTTCTCGGCAGGTAATTTAGGGTTTTGGGTTTAAGGTTTAGGGTCTAGGGTAAAGGGTTTAGGAATTGAATGAATTTCCTATGGTCTTTGTTCCTGTTTAGCGAGCCCCATACATGTACGGATCAGCGGCATTTAGATCGGCAACCATAAGACGGCGATCTCTTATAGCTGTTTCGGATATTCCTTGGTTGTCGGATCACAGCAGGAAGCAATCTTGAGTAAGTTTGAATGGTAGCCAAGTTAGTGGTTCTGTGAGCTGCCTTAAACCCTAATCACACCCCTAAACCCTAAACCCTGATTAGACCCCTAAACCCCAATCCCCAATTAAACCCCTAAACCCTAAGCCCTAATCAAACCTAAACACCAATTAAACCCCTCAACCCTAAACCCTAATTAAGCCCTTGATTAAAGCCTTAAACCCTACACCCTAATTTAATCCATAATTCCCTAAACCCTAAATAAACCCTTAATTTAAACCCTTAAACCCTAAACCCTGAATCAAACCCCTAAGCCTGAATTAAGCCCCTAATCCCAAAGCCCAAGTCAACCCCTAAGCCCTACACCGTTTTCCTGCTACGCAGTACTCGTGCAGATTCCCATATGGGGGTTTCCGAAACTAGGGGACCCTAATATACTACCCTAAATAGTAGGATCCTTATTATAAGGACCCCAAAATATAATATTAATATTAATAGTAATATTAATATTAATATTAATATTAATACTAAAATACAGTACCCATTATTTCGGGAACTCCCATATCTTCCTCAACCCCAGGGTTCGGACTTCAGTGACGGTGGTTCAGGGTTTGGGGTTTGGGGTTCAGGGTTTGGGTTTAGGGTTTAGGGTTTAGGGTGAGCCTCAGGAACATGGTAATGTAGGGGCCTTCATAATTAGAATAGGTGTTTGGGTTTAGGGTTTTGAGGGCCTTACTACTTGGACTAGGGTTCCCTTAAGCGCTCCTTTAACGGTTCCTTTCAGGGATAGCTACTTTAAGGGTTTAATGTAGGGGGGTTTAGGGTTTGGGGTTCAGGGTTACGTGAAGGAGGAAAGTTGGTAAGTTGGTCACAAGCCGAGTTGTAAGTCTCCTACTTGGAAGGTCGGGAGACTTAGTAAGTAGGTACTAAGTAGACTTATAAGTACCCTAAAAGGGACCCTAATTGGGGTCATAGTACTTATAATTCTATAAAATACCCATTTACTAAGTTCCCCGACCCTCCAGGTAATGAGGGATACCCCACAAAACAAGCTCTTCGTAGAACTGGCTTGGTAAGCACCCTTTGTCCTAAATGCTGCAAAAATCCCCAATATCAAACCCATGGAACCTAGAAAACCCCTCATGTAGGGTCGTTGGAACCCTAAACCCTAAACCCTAAACCCTATACCCTAAGAGTGTTTAACCTTTTCTTTGGCCAGCCTTGTACTTGCAACTGCCTGTAAAGCATCAGAACGCGAACCCCGAGAGCCCCAAAAGCCCTTGAAGAACCAACATCCCTCAAGTCACGAAGGGATCCCTGAATATGCTGGTAAGGTGCGTAGCTGATTTCAGGGGTAGTCCTCGTTTTCAGGTTCCTGTTAGGCTACAAGGAGGGTAGTTCGATGTCAACCTGTGCTTGTACTGGACAGCTGTGACCAGTCAAAATCGCTTCCGAAGGTCTAATATCCCCAAGGTCCTGGACCCTACTTAGATGATCAGGGGACTGTGTAAGTAGGGTGTGGGGTTACAAGTACCCTAATTACCTAATTAGGGTTATAAGCAGATATAACCATAGTTACCTTAGTTATATCCCTACTTACTACGTCCCATGATCTTCCAAGTAGACGAAAACGAAAAGGTAGTTCCAGTGCAAACATCGCCTCTGACATTTAGTGTTTGGGCATAGGGCGTTGAGGCTTGCATTTCATGAACCCAAACTCTCATGAACTACAGCAACGTACTGTAGCTGAGACCCTCAAACCTAAACCGTAAGCTCTCAACACAACCTCTGACAAAAAATATAAAACAAAAGCAGAAGGAATCATATATGTCCACTACTACTGGGATGATTGGACTCCATCAAATTGCATACCCCAACCAAAATAGCATACACATAAAAAAAAACCCAAAGCCTCAAACCAACACGCTCAACCCGAAAACCTAAACCCTCAACCCCAAAACCTGAAACCGGAAACTCCACAACCTACAACCGCAACCCCAAAACCCGAAAGCCGAAACCCCAAAAACTGCAACCTCAACCCCAAAACCTGAAACCCGAAACCCCAAAACCCAAAACCCTAAACTCTCGGCTGCCATAAAACTGCTACGACCTCGAAGACTCTAAACCCTAAACCCTCCCAGAGACCGTTGGCTTGGGCAGGCCCGTGCGGCCTCGGTGCCCCCCGAGGCGAGAAGCCCCAAATAACTTCCTACAGCCCCGCTATATGAAGATACATAACATGCATATGCATACATATATATATATATATACATACATACATACATACATACAGACAGACAGACAGACAGACAGACAGACATATATATATATATAGATATAGAAGTGCGCGTATATGTAGATAGTTATATATAGATAACATAATGTATGTGTATGTGTGTATGTATATACATATATATAGCTACAGCTCTAAACTGGCGTTTAGGGGATGTACTTGGGTATCAGCAACCCCTAAGCCGTTTAGGGTTCAGGGTAATTGTAATTCCTTATGATCAGTCCTTCTAAACTACATACGAGATTCCTCTAAACCCTCAAAACCCTTAACGTCAAAGGAAGCCTTAAAAGATGATATAAAGTTTTCCCAAGCCCTCAACTGGCTCGGTTTCGGGCTGTTTGTAGGCTTTAGGGTTCGGGGAACCTGGGTTAGGGCTTTTAGCAACATGGGAGTGGGAAAAAACTGAGTAATTGTGTCCCCATAGAGTCCCCATATAACTATACAACACAATATAGCTAGAGCTCCAAACCGGTTGTTAGGGAATATACGAGGGTATCGGAACCCTCGAAGCCGTTTAGGGCTTAGAGGTTGTAATCCTAGTCAAGGTGGCGAGAACCTTTACCCGGACCCCCAAAAGGATCTAAAAAATAGATCCCCTAAGGGGGTTCCTATAAAGTACCCTTTAGTAGTTAGGGCCCCTAATTAGGGGATCTATTTTTTAGATCCTTTTGGGGGTCTGGGTATGGGTCAGGGATCAGATTAAGGAATGCGTAAAGTTCAGGGTTTGGGGATCAGTTTCGGAGCATTTTGTGATGGCACCCCCTACCTTATAGCCCCTGCATCGCTATACTGCAACTTACCCCCGAAGACCCCTTCCAGTTCTGAAGCCACTTATAATGCTAGTTAGGGCACTTATAGGCGAGGAGTAATGTAGAAGCCTAAATGTTTTCCACTAGTAGTCTTTAAGCCTCCTTACAATAATTGGAGCATGATATACTCCGAAACCCGACTAAATGGTAAGAACTGAGCTAGGGGTACAGATTATGTGGTTTAGGGATCCCTAATTGCAAAGCCGTTTAGACTGTAGGGCTGTGTACTGCATACCCTAGACTGTGCAATCCTTCACCCTGAACGGTTGAGGGCTTTGGACGAGGCTTAAACCTGGACACCGAAAGAGTTCTAAGTGTGGGCTTGAGGACAGGGCTTCCTAGTCGATTACGCGGACGATAGACGAAACTCGGGAAAGCGAACTTTACAGTTCAGTGGGAAATATAGAGACCGTAACAATGAGAATAGGTCTTGCGGGGGTGCATTACAGATGGTTTTAACCATTCTTACTTCAAACCCTAAATCCTAAACCCCTAAACCCCTCCTCCCGTTTGCGAGGGTCACTGCACCGATGTGCTCTCGACCGCTTGGAAGTTCAGAACCAGCGTCAACGGGACAGTTGTCATCGCAGCCATTTTGGCGCAAGAGAGTTCACGTCTTATGAACTATCACCTTTCCAGCCAGTCTTCTTCCAACAAGACGAAGCAGTTCATAATTGGATGCTAGAAGTATCCAAGTCGACCCGAAGAAGGGCGCCCGCATTGGGCCGAGAGTATTTGGGGCTGGGGCCAGAGGCCGCCCCTTTGGTGGCACAACAAAGAAAGGCTCATGAGAGCATCCGGCTGCTATTTGACGTCAAGTGTGGCGCATGTGCCACTCTGCCCTAGGGTTTTAGGATTTAGGGCTTAGTAGTTTAGGAAAGACTCCTCAAATAATTCATAAGAAATTGAACCTTTGCTGGAATAGTGTAGGGGCCTACACAATTACCTTTACTAGTTTGGGTGGGTTCCTTATTATAAAGAGACTATAAAGGAGCCCAAAACTCTATTCAAATTATTAAGGCCCCTACATTAGGAGGCTGCCGAGGTTCCTTATTATAATTATAGTATAGTGGGCCCCGACATTCATACGATAAAGGAGCCCGCAAACCCTATTCTAATGATTAAGGCC